CAGCACTCCAACTCAGCACAGCTGCCCCCCACAGCGGCGTCCTGGAAGTGCTTCCAGGATGGCCTTGCCCATCCTGTGTACAGATGGGGAAACCGAGGCTCAGAGAGGGGCGGGACTGCACTACAGGTGGGTGACAGAGCAGATACTCGAACCCACATCCCCTCGCTCCCAGCCAGGGACCTGTCCCCTGAAGTTTGTCCCAGAGGCTGTGAGTGCCCCTGCTGTGGAGGACAGAGGACTAGCTGGTAGGACCCTAGGGTCTGCCCCACTTCTGCCGGCAACTTAACAAGTCACTCCTCCGACCTCAGTCTCTGAATCCAGCTTGGCTGGGACAGTGCAGAAAAAGCAACTTCAATGTAACAGAGTAGGGTGCAGTGGGGTGGATACACTGGAGAGGGAGGGGCAGCCTCTGTCATCTGAACTCTGGAGCCTTGCGCCCCGTTGATACCTGAGGCAGGGCTGGAGGCGAGGGCTGCCCAGTGGCCAACTAAGCCCAGTCCAGACCCTGGGGCCTGCCCTGTCCTCCCCTCAGGCTCGGTCTCCTCATCTGTACAGCGGGGGCGAGGAAGGGGGTTGGAGCGAGGAGGTGATCCCCAAGGGCTGTGGAGCTCCGACATTCCAAGACTAACCCCAAGTCTCCGTGGCCAGGCCTCCTCCTCCCTCTGGCATTTTATTTATTCAGAGCATCCCTGGCCCGAGACGGAGACGGGCTGGCCCAAGCATCCCTCCTCCTTGAAGCAGGGTTCCTTCCCATCCCCATCTCTCTACTGTTTCTGCCCAGCTGTTCCCTGCCACCAGACTGAGTGTCCCTCGGTCCCCTCAGGTGCCCACAGCCCCTCTACATCCCCGACCAGCTCAGTGGCAGCTCCTAATCCTGCGCCTCCGCTCCACTTGCATCTCAGAAAGCGGCACTGCCTGCTGCGTACACATACCAAACTAGAAATAGTGGTGGGCTCACTCACGATACCTCTCCCTTCAGCCCTCCCAACATCTAATCAACAGGTCCTGTCATTCTCGGCTAAATAAGCCTCAGACCCATCTGTTTCCACCAGTTTCACCACCCTCTCCCCAGCTCAAACCCAGCAAACAGAGGAGTGGAGGCGGAGCCTTCCAGCTCGGCTGCATCTCTGCTCTCTGCTCCTAGGCGAGCACATGAAGTGCGTGCTGCCTCAGTTTCCCCTCCTGAAGCGGGAATGATCATTGTATCTATCTCACAGAGTTGGCTGAGCAGCGAGTGGGCCAATACATGTCGAGCGCTTAGAATAGCGCCTGGTACAGCAAACGCACAGCACGCCGGCACTGCGGCCTGCCTGCGCGTGCACGTGGATGTGTGTTCGGGGGAGTTTGGGGTCCCCGGTACCCATGCGCTGTGTGCGTGTTGTATGTGCACAGGTTGTCTGTCCTGGGTACACACGTGATGCGCCACACACACGTGCACCTCAGGAGGGCATTGGGAGAGCGCACAGGCGGAGATCTGTGCTGTGTACGTGTGTGCTGGGCGCAGTGGGAGCTGTGTGCATGCGTGTTTTGTGGGGGCGTGCACACGCAGAGTGCCTGCGCCAGGGCCGGACGCACACGGGGCCTGCAGCACGGCGTGCTCCCGAGGAGTGTGTGAACGAGCGCGTAGGCGGGTCTGCGCTGTGTGCGCACGTGCTAACGGTGTGCAGGCCTCCCCCGCCCCCGGCAGCCCGGCAGGCCCCCCTCCCTCCCCGGCCGGCCTGTGTCGTGGGAGCCTCAGGACCCCGAGGGAGGGAAGCTGCTGCTGGCGGATGTGGCCGAGATGGACTGGATTTATTTAGATTAAGGCGGTGGGAAAGGAGTGGAGACTCGTGTGTGCAGGAAGGAGAGGAGGCTGGGGCTCTGAGAGGCTCCTCAGGCACGCCCGCTCCCCTGGGCTAGGGGCCCTCAGTCTGCTCCCCCAAGGGGGTTCCTCTGGTTCACATGAGGAGCTGGGCAATTACCCCGTCTTTGGACCCGTCTCTCCCAATCTGGTGGAAATGGGGGAGTCACGGGGGCTCCCTGGCACACAGCATTCTCCTGTGGGTACGGGGGGCGCTCCCTGACAGCCCCCCTCCTCTCTCTGTTTCAGGAGCCTCCCCAGGCAGGAGAGAGTGGCAGGCAGGGGTGTGTCTGTTCCCTGACTGTGACACCACCTTGTCCCACGTGGGTGGCTCCTCGCTGGAGCCCAGCCTTCCCTCGGACGGAGAGAACTTGTCTCGGACAACCCCCCAGCCCCCCTGCAGAACAGTTGTCTGGGCCTCTCTGGGGTTGGCTGGATGCACGGCAGCCTCTGGGAAGCCCAAAGAGGTCCACAGGCATTGGCTGGACACTGGGGGTGTCAGGGACTCCTCCGAGATGGCCTGCGAGGTCACGTCCAGCTGCCTTAATCCCCACTCTGGTCCTGCCTGGTCCTGTGGCTTGTGGTCCATGCCACCCTTCCCCCGCCCCTCCCCCCCGCCGCCTCCTGGGTTTCCAGTCCCCAGTTTATTTGTCTAAGAGTCACCTGGAAAACTGAAGCCCAGAGAGGGAAACGACTGGTCAAACCTTACACAGCAAGTCTGCGACTGAATTGCCGGGGGAGTTCAATCCGTGAAACGAGAAGGGTTATGAATTCTCACATGACGCAGCCGCAGGAATGTGGCTCCCTCCTTCCCCTGGCCATTTTGGAAGAGGGATGGCTCTCTGGGAGGACCCATCCGCACCCCCCCCCACCCCTGTGCGGATGGAGAAACAGGGAGAGAGCGAGAGACTCGCCTCGTCCCATGGTGGGTCTGAGGCCCCGTGTGACCAGAGCCGCATCGCCCACTGCATAGAGAGAGAAGCTAGGACGAGATCCCGGGGACACTACACACTCCCTAAGGTGTCTACACTGTCCCCACGCTCCTCCGACCAGCCTCCTGCCCTCTCCCCATAGCCCGATTCTTCTTCCTCTTTGCTGGTGACTGGGCCATGACTCTGTCCAGCCCCAGGCCTCTGCTGCCTGTTCGAGAAGACCCCTCCGGGCACAGTCTCAGAGACTGTAATCGGCCCCCAGCCCCAGGCCCAGCGGGAGAGGAGCCAGGGTCAGGGGCTGCTCCTGCCCAGTGTGGGGGTGGGGGGTGGGGGGCAGCGCCCACACAGCCCTGCCTCCCAGAGCCAGGCCAGCCCCCACTGCAGTGACCTCCCATCTCCAGGCCAGCCGACTGAATTCCTCCTTTAGAATAATAAACAGTGCGGCCAGCCAGGGAGGCTGAGAGGGGAGGGGCAGGGAGGCTGAAATGACCCCCTCCCCCAGCCTCGGCTGCTAATGATTTTCTTTGGCTGAGATCTCGGGCAGAAAGGGGGTAGTCAGAGGGGCACCGCCGAGGGGCAGATGGGCCTCTGAGGGGGCTGCTGGCTCCACCGTGGGGCTGCTCCTGCCGTTGGGGGAGGCCTGGCACCCAGCTGGAGGGGCTGGTGCAGGAGGGCTGGGAGAGGGAGGGGGCACATCCTAAGAGCTGGACTTGCAGTCTGGAGCAATTGGGAGGGAGAGAAATGAGGGGATCCGCAAGCAGGGTGGTCTGCAAGGATGGGGAGAAGGAGGAGGAGAAGAGCAGGTTCACTCAGAGACCTTATTGGGGTGCTGGGTAGAGCTGAGACTGGGGGCTACAGGCCAGGAGCCTTCCCTCCATCCCACCAGTGTGTGGAAGCAGAGCTGTGAGTGGTCCGCTCTGACTCGTCCGGGGAGACTGAGGCCCCGGAGAGAGCGGTGGCACAGAGGGTGGCCCTGCTGGGGTTCAGACCGGACCCCAGCCAGGGACTGGAAACGCAGCAGGGTGAGGCTGGGGTGCAGTGGGGCTGACCTGGGTGTGGCCGTGGAGCAGGCCAGGCTGGGCAGCCACTCTGCGAAGTCAGCAGACCCACAGCACCGAGAGGCTCCTTGTTGCCTTGTCACGTGGTCACTGCCCACATTTCTTGCTCTGTGACTCCCGTCCACTTCTGGTCCCCTTTCCATCCACACCGCAGACCCTTGCACGCCTCGCTGTTGGTGGTTATTTGGGGTCCTTGGATGGAGCGGCCACAGGCAGGGACAGAACAAAGACTCACCCAGTTCGGTCTTTCAGTGAGTGTCCCTGCCTCCGTCTCTTTCTGTCTCCACCGCCGTGTGTCCTCTCTCTCCACCTCTCTGTGTCTTTGTCTCTACCTCTGTCAGTCCATGTCTGTCCGTCTGTCTGTCTGTCTCTCTCTTGGACAAGCTCTACTGTGTAAGCTTAGGCAAACTTCTCTTCCTCCCAGGGCCTCAGTTTCCCCATCTGGATGGTAGGGGCAGGCTGGGGGGCCCCGACTCAGTCAGTCGTCTCCATGGACCTTCCAAGGCTTGCGGCGCCGTGGGGCCTCCCCAGGGCCCAGCCCCTGGCCCCTCTTCCCTGGGCCTCTCTGTGCAGCTCAGGACCCAGTGAAGGGGCCAGGCGTGGGGGTGCCCCCCCATTCCACAGCCCTGACTCCCCCGCTTCCCTTCCCACAGCCGCCTCTACTTCCTGTTGTGCTTGCGGCGCTGTGGGAGTTCTCTGGGCCTGGCTCACCCCCTCCTTCTCCTCCAGGCCTCTCATCGCACTTTCCCAAATATTTGTCCTGGCAGATAAGAGCCTGGTATTGGAACTGTCACCCGGAGGACAGGCCCTTAGGGCTGGCGGGCCCCTGGACACCATCCCTGCCCAAATCCCCTGTGTTGCTACACATACGGAGAAACTAAGACCCAGAGAGCGGTGGGGGCTCAGCCAGGGCCACCCGAGAGGTAGAGGCAGAGCAAAGAAGGGCCCAGGCTCCTTGAGGCTGAGCCTAGTGCGGCGGCGGGGAGGGGACCTGTGAGCACGAGGGCCCTCTTGGATATGGGACATGGATAGCCTTTGACTTCAGCTCCGTGGACACAAAGGCTGGGTGGCCCAGCCCGAGCTTGCTCTGCAGGACCCAGGTGCAGAGATGGGCCCTGGTACTGCCTCTGCCCACCCTGAGCCCTGACTGTCTCCTATTCAACTCCGCAGGACACCATGCTGCTTCTGAGTGCCATGCCAGCGCCTGTCCTCAGAGGTAGGTGGACTGGGCACGTGGGAAGGGGCCCTGGGGAGCCACTATGCAGGACCCTGGAGCTGGCAGAGGTGGTGCAAGCTGCACTGGGGCCTGAGAATCCAGGGGCGCTGCTCTGCTCTCGAGCCTCAGTGTCCTGCCCTTCCAGTGGGGCTCAGTGAAGACCCCCTTCCACTGCCCACCCACAGCTCACAAACCTCAGCACATTCCCTGCCTGCCCGCAGCCGTCAGCTCGTATCCTCTGTTGGTCTTCCACACCCCGTGCCCCTCCCCAGGTGTTCCCACCCCACTCATTCAGAGTCACTCCAGCCTCCTGTCTGTCCCCAGCACTCCCTGGTGTTGGTCTGGCTGGTCTGCTTCCAGTCTGGGACTCCCCTCCCCCACCTGGACTCCTCATTGGCTGTGGACCCCCAGGTCCTAGCTGGGCTTCTCTCAGCACACCCTTCCCTCACTCCTGCCTGGTACATGCACTCTGCTGTCCTGGGCAGCTGACTAGGCAACCAGTGGTCATTGGCAAGCTGAGGGTGGCTGATTGGCTTTGCTGAGCACTGACCGGTCTGGGGGAATGGGGGGCCATGGCTTACAGAATCCTCCCCTAGGGGATATCAGCAGGGGAAGTGGAACCAATCACTTGACAACCCCCCAACCCCAGTCCCTTTGAGTCCCCAGGGGCCTCAGCATCTCTCCTGCTCCCATCCACCCCGCTCTGAGCCACCTTGCCCCACCCTCCCCAACAGGGCCACCTCTGGGCTTTGGGCAGAACCTGGGCAGCTGGGGCGGCTGTAGGGATGAGGCTCAAAAGGTGACCTGGGAAATAATGCAGGAACTGGAGGCTGGGAATTGCTTCCCGAGGATTTCCTGATGCCTTTGTGAGAGAGAACATGCCCCCAGCCTGTGCACAGCCCGCTGCAGGGCTCCGAGGCTGGGGTCCAGCAGGCCCTGGGGGAGGGGGGCTGGGTGCTGAGTCTGGATTCAGGGGGGTGTGTTTCTCCAGGGCTGTCGCCCCCCAGGGTCAGCTCTGGGGACAGGTGTGGAGGTTCCTGCGCTCTGACATCTGACGCCTCCTCTCCTGTAGGCCGGGTGCTGCCCCTGCTGCTGCTGCCGCTGCTGCTGCTGCTGCTGGAACTACAGATGGTCTCAGGCTTAGTCATCACACCTCCGGGGCCGGAGCTTGTCCTCAACGTCTCCAGCACCTTGGTTCTGACCTGCTCGGGTCCAGATCCGGTGGTGTGGAAACGAATGTCCAAGAGGCCCCCACAAGAGATGGCCATGACCCCGGATGGCAATTTCTCCAGCATCCTGACACTGACCAATGTCACTGGGATAGACACAGGGGAATACCTGTGTGCCTATAATAACTCCCATGAGCTGGAGGCTGAGGAGCAAAAACGGCTCTACATCTTTGTGCCAGGTGAGGCCCCAGCCCGTGCTCAGTCCCTTACTCCCCTTCTCCACGGCGGGCGTCCAGCCGGGGAAGCTCAGGGAGTGCCGTAGTGACAGGGTAAAGCACTGCCAGCTGAGAAACGCAGATGAACTGAGGAACCCAGCCTGGCTCAGTCCAAGAGTACGTTCCCTTCCACCCCTTGGGGTGAACATCTACCTGCTTCCTGCCAACCCACCCCACTCCTGGCTCCCAAGAACTCTGCTTCCCCAGCTGGTTCCAGTATGCTCCCTCTTGGCCCCTACATCCCATTGTCCCCATTCTCCAAGCTCCAGGTACCAGCTGCCCTTCAACTTGGGGCTTTCGCGCCCCAGGGCTGCCCATAGCAATGTAAACACTAGATGGGACCTCTGAGAGCATGCTCGCTCTGTAATGGGAGGGCTGAAGGCCGGGAAGGGGGAGGGGCCTGCTGAAGGCCACTCCGCAGTTCAGAGGAATGCTGGAAACCCAGCTCCCCCTGACCTTCATTTTTGTCCCCCCCTCCCCCGGCAGATCCCACCGTGGGCTTCCTCCCTGTCCCTTCCGAGGAATTATTCATCTTCCTCACGAAAGAAACTGAGATCACCATTCCGTGCCGAGTGACGGACCCGCAACTGGTGGTGACACTGCATGAGAAGAAGGTGGATGACCCACTGCCTTTCCCCTACGACCACCAGCACGGCTTCTCCGGGACCTTTGAGGACAAGACCTATGTCTGCAAAACCACCATCGGGGACAGGGAGGTGGATTCCGAGCCCTACTACGTCTACAGCCTCCAGGGTGAGCCCCCCTTCTGGCCCGATGCTCAGCAGAGGCAGGTGTGACCGTTCCCAGAGGTCTAGCCCTTTCCAGCTCACCGAGGGTGCCGCTCCATCTCTCACTGGGTCCTCACTACAGCCTTGGAAGGCGGGTCATGTTTCTCCATTTTACAGATGAGGAAGCTGAGGCTCAGAAAGGGGACGGAATTTGCCCAAGGTCATGGGCAGAGCTGGGCTGTGTGGAGTGGTGGGCAAAGGCACAGGCGCTGGATCTCAGCTCTGCCACTTCCTGCTCCAGTGGCCCTGCACAGGCACACAGTCTCTCTCAGCCTGCTGCTGCTTCTGCTGTGAATGGGAACACTGACTCCCTGCCTCAGGGGGTTATTGCAAAGATCACATGAAACAGAAGATGGGGGGGATCTGGTACACGGTTATGCTCAACACGTTTCCCCTGTACTTGGGTGTGTGGAGAGTACTTTGGTTCCCAAACTGTGGTCCCTTGTGGAAGGCCAGGTCCATGTGGACAGAAATTTTGTCTTCTGCGTTCACCGCTCAAGCCCCAGTGCCTAGAATGGTACTTGGCATGGAGTAAATATTTAATGAATGTTTGTTGAACCAATGAGTCTTCCACACCAGTCGCCCCTTCCCTCTCTGGACCCTGACCCCACCCCCAGCCCGAAGTGCTGGTAGCTGGTGGCGACTTCCTCAGACCTAAGCCAGCCTCTCTCCCCCAGCGTCGTCCATCAACGTCTCCATGAGTGCAGTGCAGACGGTGGTTCGCCAGGGCGAGAACATCACCATCACGTGCGTGGTGACTGGGAACGAGGTGGTCAACTTCGAGTGGATGTACCCCCGCGAGGAGGTAATGCTGGGACGGGGGTGGGCGCAAGGGCCAGGCAGGGGTGGATATCTCGCCTGGCAGCCTGACTTTCCGGACGCTTCCTGATGTGGGGGACGCGCCCCGCCTGTCCCCACAGAGTGGGCGGCGAGTGGAGCCCGTGACCGACTTTGACACCCCCTTCTACATCCGCTCCACCCTGCACATCCCCAGCGCTGAGCTGGGCGACTCGGGGACCTACATCTGCAATGTGTCAGAGAGTGTGTACGACCACCAGGACGAAAAAGCCATCAATGTCACCGTGGTCGGTGCGTGCCTGGGGCTCAGCCCCAACCCTCACTCTGAGCCGGGTCCACGCCCTGTCATAGCCCCGGGGTATCGTCAGCCGCAGGTCCGTCCAGCTCCAGTCTCGCTGCCAACCTGGGCTGCATTTTCGGGAGAAACCCAAACCAAAACGCAGGGCCAACCCCAAATCCAACCTTAACCCCATCTAGACCCTCCTTCTAGCCAGAACCCAGGCCCCAACCCAATTTCTGATCCTAGCTTGCATCCCAGGCTTAGGCAGCCCCATCCCCAAAGTCCACCAGGCTGCAACTCACCTCAGCCACATCCCTGGGCCAGAACACGCCCAAGAACTACAGTTCTAGCCTCAATCTCAAACCTGGACTGCAAACCATATCAGCTCCAAATTCTGCCCAGGCCCAGCCCCAGCCCCAGCCCCAGCTTCAGCCCCAGATCCAGCAGTTCTCAAAGCCTAACAGCCTGCCTCCAGAAGCCCCGCCCCACGAGGCACTGTCCCATTGGTGGCCGGGTATAGCCCCGCCCCTGACAGTCGCCCCTTGCAGAGAGTGGCTACGTGCACTTGCTGAGGGAGCTGGACGCTGTACAGTCTGCGGAACTGCACCGGAGCCGGACACTGAAGGTGGCGTTCGAGGCCTACCCACCGCCCACTGTCAAGTGGTTCAAGGACAACCGCACTCTGGGCGACTCCAGTGTAGGCGAGATTGTCCTGTCCACGCGCAATGTGTCGGAGACTTGGTGAGCAGCCGCCTGCCCACTCCATTCTTGAAGTTATGGGCACAGCCACCAAGCAGTCCACAGCCTTCAGCTGCTTAACAAAAACTAGGCCCTTCTTTCCTGAGAGCTTACTATGCACCGGGCGCCCTTCCAGGGGCCGTGCCAGGCCCACGGACGCTGCAGAGAACAGAGCACACAGTCCCGTGCCTCCTAGAGCTTCCTGTCTAGCAGGGAAACCAGGCACTGGTCAGAGTACCACCAGGATGTTTAACTGTCCTTGTGATGGCTGGAGGCATCGGGAGGCAGCGGAAAAGCAGGATGGTTGGGAAGGAGGGTATCAGGCAGCCCACTGACCCCTGTGCATCGGTGGTAGCCCACTGGTACCCGATGTTAGGATTAAGGTGTGTCAGGCCTTTCTGAAGGAGAAGAGATTTGGAGGAGAGGGGAAATGGTGCTGTCCCTTCTTCCCCACCCCCGTTGTCCCTCCTACCCGGTCTCTTGGCTCAGTGGAGCTGCCTATGGCTGGGGATCCAGGAGACTAAACCTACCAGTGTGAGTCCCAGCTCCGCTACTGACTCTGTGACCTTGGCAAGCCCCTTGCCCTCTCTGGGCCTTGCTTTCCCTGTCTGTAGAGGAGGGAGGGGAGGGCATGCGAGTTCTTCCAGCTCTGACGGCTGGGTCTCCCGGCCTGGCCTGCCCCCCAGGTACGTTTCAGAACTGACGCTGGTGCGGGTGAAGGTGGCTGAGGCCGGTTTCTACACCATGCTGGCCTCCAACGAGGACGATGAGCTCCAGGTCTCCTTCCAGCTGCAAATCAACGGTGAGCAGCCCTCCATCCTGCTTTTCTTCCCCTCCCCTCCCACTCCCACTTCCTCTCCCTGCCTACTTGGCCCACCCACCCACAGGAGGAACAGGGGAGGGAGCCCGGGACTCAGGAGACTGGGTGCTAGTCCTAGCTCCAACACTGGCCCCCTGCTCTATTCATACCCTGTCTCGGGCCTCAGTTTCCCCAGACGTACAAGGTGGCCATTGGGCTAGACTAGTGTTTCCCAAACCTCAGTCATTCCTGTGCCAATGCCACGGTTTTTCCTTGTCACTCACCACTTGAACCGCACCACTAATTAAATAGATGTTTACTGAACAGCCACAGTGCACCAGGCTGCTCAAGGTCCTTGAGGCCCTGCCTTCCTTAGCGCAGCCTAAATCCCAGTGCCGGAAGACAAATGTTGGGCAGCAGCGGTAAAGTCCCCAGCCAATTCTGTAGGAGGTTAGAAGGTAACAAGTGCCTTGAAAGAGAAAGAAAAAGCTTTGGAGTGGGGTGGGGGAGGATCGGGAGTTCTGGGGGCAGGGACGGTGAGGGCTGTACTTTTCAATAGCGGGGATGGGGTGGCCTCACTGAGGTGACATTTTCGGGAGGACGTGAAGAAGGCGAGGGCATTATTCCAGTGGTCATTTGGGAAAAGGGCATCCCAGGCAGCCTGAGGCAGGAGTGATGGCAGGAAGGACCGAGTGGCTGGAACAGTGTAATGGGGGCGGGGAGGGAGGGAGATGAGGTCATACCTGGGACAGGGCAGTTAGGGGCTGGGTGGGTGGGGACGGATCGTGGAAGTCCTCGTGGGCTCCTGGATGGACATTGGCTCTTGCTGCGGCTGCAGTGAAGTCACTGCAGGGCTTTGAGCCGAATGTCATGATAATGACTTACTGTTTTGTCAGTAGACTTTCTAAAAATTCAGTTTGAAAGAGAATTTAACCTCTCAATCGTAGATGGAAAATCACTGTTACGTGTCATAAATATAAAGCACCCACTAAAATAAACTCCAAGACAACAGAACAGTGCTGTTAAACTCCAGCTCCACGCTCTTTCTGGCCTTCCCAGGGCCTGATCCAGAGGCCGCTCTGGCTTTGTTAGAAGGGGAGATTAGCAAGCCTCAGAAAGGTGTTAAAGACCGACCAGTCCCCTGCTGAGGCGTTCCCTTTGAAGTACCCAGAAGGGGAATCCGCCAGTTTTCACAAGGTGATTCCTGGCATTTAATGCTCACCTGCAGCCTGCAGCTCCCCTCCCCCATCCAGGGAAGACTCTAGGCCGCGTCCTCCATCCACCAGGGTCTTCCTCACTCGCTGTCTGTTCTGACCTTTCCTCCTCCCTGCCCCATGTCGTCGCCATGCAGTGCCTGCCCGTGTGCTGGAGCTGAGCGAGAGCCATCCTGCCGATGGGGAGCAGACAGTCCGCTGTCGCGGCCGGGGCATGCCTAAGCCGCACCTCACCTGGTCTACTTGCCGTGACCTCAAAAGGTGAGAGAACACCTGCCTCAGTCTCCTAGTGTACCCACAGCGGGCTGGAAGGACCCTTTGAAGGTCATCTAGTCCAGCCCCTTCCTCTGAGCACAGTGCTCCAGGCTAGAGTCACATTCTAGAAGATATGGCCTCGCGGAGATGCCCTGCATGATCTAAACTACCCCCTTTCCTCGCCTTCACTCAGGGTCAGGGGGAACGGATTTTGCGAATCAGGCTTCTCAGTTGTGGGGTAGGAGCTCCCCCTGCTGGTCAGTTTGGGGACTGCAGGAGAACCAGCTCAGGACCTGGCGGTGGGAAGTAGCCTGCTTTTGGCCTCAGTTTCCCCGCCTGCAGAGGGCAGGGACTGGAAACTGACGGGGCTGGCTCATTGTACAGATGTCCGCGCGAGCTTCCTCCCACGCCGCTGGGGAACAGTTCCGAGGAGGAGAGCCAGCTGGAGACAAACGTGACGTACTGGGTGGAGGAGCAGGAGTTCGAGGTGGTGAGCACACTGCGCCTGCGCCGCGTGGATCAGCCACTGTCCGTGCGCTGCACGCTGCGCAACCTGCTGAGCCTTGACGTGCAGGAGGTCATCCTGGTGCCACAGTGTGAGTCATCAAGACTTAATGGCCCCCAGTGACCCCTCCTTCCCACCTCGAGCCTGCCATACTCTTGACTGTGTGCCCACAGCAGGCCAGAGTTAGCACGTCCATGAGCACCCAGGAGCCTTGTCAAAGCCGCCAGAGTATGGCCCCACACACTTACGCAACAACACAATACTGGCACACGTGCACATCCACAAGTGTACGTGTATAAACCATGGCTATGACTAACACTGTCTCCTTATGCCCATATATGTCCAGTGTGCATATGTCCTGAGCCACGTACGTGAGCATGCCCGATCCTTGGACATGAGTGTAAACCCTGCAGATGTGGATTTGTAAGCCACATAATAAGGAATGCACAATCCTCAGACACTTGTGTAAACCCATGAGTATATGTCTATGCATGTACATGCAGGTGCACAATCCCCAGACAAGTGTGTCAATGATACATGTACAATTCCTGTGCATGTGTGTAAACTGGCATGGGGCTTGTCTGTAAGCGTGGAGAGGATAGGTGAGCCACGGCCCAGCCGCCAGGAGCTTGCATCTGGTCTGGAGCTATGGCAGACAGGCCACTCCGAGCCCTGCAAGAGCTGAAGGGATAGGGAGGTCCATAGTGATTTGAGTGGGGGTGGGGGCAGGGCGGGGGGGGGCGGGGAGTTACTGAAGGGCATGGAGTATTTGTGGAAGAGGCTGAAGTTGTGGCCCAGAGGGAGAGGCTGAGGGTCTGACATTGTAGGCTGTGGAGGGGAGTGGGAGGGGGCTTCCGTTCCGGGCAGGATGGGCAGACAAAGACTGGTGGTACCGAGTGGAAGGGAGAAGGCAGCGGCCAAGTGCCCTGTTGGCTCACGGCTGGCTCTTGTCTCTGCCTGCAGCCCTGCCCTTCAAGGTGGTGGTGATCTCAGCCATCCTGGCCTTGGTGGTCCTCACGATCATCTCCCTCATCATCCTCATCATGCTCTGGCAGAAGGTAAGCCCCACCCTAATGGACACAGACCCACATATCAGCCCATCATTGTTTTGTACGGACCCCCCACTGTCCTTGAACCCTGCAGGAGTTCAGGCGTACAATGATGTAGGGTGATGCTGGATGTCTGAGCTGCCTCCATCCCCAGCAGCCTAGTCCAGGCCATCAGGGTACCCTATCTACACTGTTCCCCTGTCTGGGTCCTACCCTGACAGCATCGCTGCCCTTCCCAGACACAGGGTATGCCTTCCCCAGTGCCAGTGATTCCCAAACCAAGGCATCTTCTGACATTTAACATTTTCACAGTGCATTTTTTAATTGAGTCTATTGGGGTGACACTGGTTAATGAAATCAAACAGGTTTCAAGTGTACAACTCTGTAACGCATCATTTGCACACTGTGTCATGTGCTCACCACTGAGAGTCAAGTCACTCTGACCTTCCCAGGAGACTGTGTGGGCCCCAGGATTCTTCCAGCTCTTACCCCAGAGACTCCTGGATCCTATCACACTGCATTAGAATCCTATTCACCTGTCATTTCCACGTTCTCTTCTGAGATTTCCCAATTCTATGCTTCTGACATGTTAGGATTCCTGAATTAGGGTTGCAGTACCCTGTAGTCTATCTCTCTAAGTTTCCAGTGCATTGATTCCAGCACCTCATAGTTTCACCATCTTATGGTCACATCTTTCTGAGATTCCCGAGATTCCTGACGTGACTCACCCAGCGTGGAGAGGGGCTGTCCACACCCAGCAGAGTGCCCCTGCCTTGTGTTACTTTCTGGGGTGGCGTGTTCCTCTATTCCCACCCGAGGAGCAGCTGGGGCTCTAGGAGAAGCTGGGGAGGAGGTTCTCAGGAGCTGGGCCCTCGGCTGTCAGCCACTCGTCAGCCGCTCCCTGGCTGGGGCCCCCTGGCATCTGTACCTACTGAACCCATGAAGGCCTTGGCTCTATCGAGAACTTGCTGTGTGACTTCACCTATGCACCTGTCTCTGTCTGGGACTCTGGGTCCCCTGCCCCAACTGTTCCATAAGGGACTGGACCTAGTGGGCCTCAAGACGCCCCTGGTGACCCACCCCTGGTCTTGGCCCGCAGAAGCCCCGCTATGAAATCCGATGGAAGGTGATTGAGTCTGTGAGCTCCGACGGCCATGAGTACATCTACGTGGACCCCATGCAGCTGCCCTACGACTCCACCTGGGAGCTGCCGCGGGACCAGCTTGTGCTCGGTCAGTCTGGGGGGCCTCACACGGCAGTGTGTGGGCTTCAGGCAGCGGGTGGGCCATCTGAGGTCTGGTCCCAGCTTTGCCACGACCCGCTGTGAGACTTAGGGCCCGTGTCTTGCCTTCTCTGGCCCCCATTCCCTTCCTTTGTATTGTGGGGACAAGGTGACCCCCAAGAATCATCCAGCATTAAGGTCCTATGATCCCATTACTCTGTGAGAGGGGACCCCTTGGTGACGAGAAAGGGCATCTTGACTGAGCGGGCCGAGTGCCAGGCCTGTGCTTGGCCCGGCTGGGAGGCCTACCAGTGCAGAGGAACTGTGCTCCCCTCTGGGGAGGGGGGAAGGCTTCCAGGGACTGAGGCGGTTCAGAAAGCGATAGCACTTACATGAGACACTACGGAGGGCCGTGAATGTAGGGGTCTCATTGGAGGAAACACCTTAAGTCCCAGGTGAGGGCTGAAGGATGTGTACCCTGACCCGAGAGAGGGTGGGAGGCAGACTGCTGGTGGGCCAGGAGCTGAGGGACCATCTCTACCCCAGGGCGCACCCTTGGCTCTGGGGCCTTTGGGCAGGTGGTGGAGGCCACGGCTCACGGCCTGAGCCATTCTCAGGCCACGATGAAAGTGGCCGTCAAGATGCTGAAATGTGAGTCCTGGGAGCACCCCCAACCCCTCCCCGCCCCTCCCCACACAGTCGGGCACTCCCAGAGCAGGCCAGGCCTGGCTCGGACTCGCTGGGCACAAGGAGTGTGGCCACCCCATAGCCAGCCCACGCCTCGTCTGCTCTGGGAAAGCGGCTCTGCCACCTTCCCTCTCCTCCAGCAGCCTCCTCCCCACCACCTTCCTCCCATCCTCTCTCCCCTCCCCCTGCATGTGGGTCCTTACCACCTTTGGCCACAAACTGGGGCAAAGGCAGAAGAGGCTCCAGTTGCGGCCTCCGCGGGGCCTCCGTGATGGGGCCAGGCCTGAGGCCCTCCCTTCCTCAGCCACAGCCCGAAGCAGTGAGAAGCAAGCCCTCATGTCAGAGCTGAAGATCATGAGTCACCTTGGGCCTCACCTGAACGTGGTCAATCTGCTGGGAGCCTGCACCAAAGGAGGTACAGATGCACTTGCCCAGAGGATTCTGGGAAATGCCAGTGGCCGGAGCTGGGCCCCTCTCCTCAGTCCAGGGACAGCAAGACACCCCAGCTGGAGTGTCTGCGCCCACCCCGTTCAACACCCTCGCTGTGCAGAGCCAGATGGGTGTGGGGTTTAGAAACTCACAGGGTCGCAGCAGGGCCAAGGCCAAAGGGCTGTCCCAGTCACCAGTGCCAGTGATTCCCAAACGGAGGCATCTTCTGACATTTAACATTTTCACAGTGCATTTTTGAACTGACTCTATTGGGGTGACACCGGTTAATGAAATCAAACAGGTTTCAAGTGTACGACTGTAACACATCATTTGCACACTGTGTCGTGTGCTCACCATGGAGACTCAGGTCTCCTCCATCCCCATTTACCCCCTCCCTGCCTCGGCCTTCTTCTGTCTCCCCCACCCCCTGTCCCTCTGGCAATCACCATACTGTTGCCTGCCTCTGTTTTTTTTCTGAATACACCCTAACAACTGTAATAAATGACAGCTTATGCCACACTGAGATGAGTTACGTCCCCACTACTGGAGACCAGCAGCCCACTCACCAGGAGCCGCCTTCATTCAGATCAGAGAGTAAAGTCTTTCTGACTAAGCGTGTTCATTTGAAGCTCTGGTTGCAAGTTAGGCTGTAAGTCTGAAAAAAGTAAATGTTATTGCCATTTACAGCTGCTTATTGTGAGATTTGGGATTTTCCTCAGTGTTATGCAACTGGAGCGAAATACAGAAGCGCACGCACACACAGGCTGTTTACACTCGCAGCCATCGCCCCGTTTCGCAATTCGTGTTTCTGTTGACCTCCTCAAGTTCCCACTGATTGACTTCAAGTTCATGAGTTGTATCTGAATTTGCACCACAACCTGAAAATAAATCATTGCCACGGTCTACTTTATATGCTGGGCTCTGAAACAGGCTTTGGTTTGAAAACCTATCAAACACACTGAGCGGAGCCGACAAAGGCACGATCCCATGAACGCCCAGGGCAGTCCTTTGCGGTGGGTGTTACTAGCCCCATTTAACAGACGTGGAAAGCAAGGCTCAGGGAAACTGAGTACTTTGCTCACGGTCACACAGGCAGGCAGGCAAAGAACCCAGGTTCGCCTGGAGCCAAAGCCTCTTTGCCATTCTAACAAGCTGCCCCTCCCGTGTGCAAGCCCATCATTAGCCCCGTGGCCCTGGTGGGAAGCCTGAGGCCTCCCCCGGACTGTCCCTGAGCTCGTCCCTTCGCAGGGCCCATCTACATCATCACCGAGTACTGCCGCTACGGCGACCTGGTGGACTACCTGCACCGCAACAAGCACACCTTCCTGCAGCACTACTCCGACAAGCACCGTCGGCCCAGCGCGGAGCTCTACAGCAACGCCCTGCCCGTCGGGGTGCCCCTGCCCAGGTGCCTGGAGGGGGGTGGGGATGTGAATCTTTGGGGAACCCCGAGGAGCAGCTGCTTGCCCCCTCCTTGTCCAGTCCAGGAGCTGAGGCCAGGGAGGGTGCAGTGGCTCTGTTTCACAAGTTAGTTCAAGACCTGGGGCTTGGCCACCCCACTGCCTTTCCATCCAGGAAAGACAGTAACCTGGATGATAATGTTGGGATTGGCTGCCACCTACTGGATGTCTGCAGCGTGGCAGGCCCTGTGCTGAGCACTCTGCCAGCGATCCCTGGATCCCTCTCACAGTCCCTACGTTTGGAGTTCTGGAGTTCCGTCTGGAGTTCCATAGGGAGCCCTTGGGGCTCTCCTGTCCGAAGCCTGAGTCTATGTTCTACTCCTCACCGTAGTTCCCACACCCTCTGCACAGCAGCCTCTGTGGTACCTGAAGGTCAAAAGAGCCCCTTTCTTCTTCTTTTCCAAAAATAACACTTGGTTCTTTTGCTGATTACAAAAGCAGTATGTATTTATTGCAGAGAGAAGAGTAACTTCAGAAAAGCATTAAAAGACAGTAAAACTCATCCCTGTCCTTCCCAACATGTTGCCCCATTTTCTTCCAGTCTCTCCCTAGAGAGACACGCAGACGCAGCCCTGCAGCTCCCCGGGGAGCTGGTGCTGCAGGCGGGCTTGAGGGCAACTCCCTGCTGGCTCTGGGTGGGGGCTGGGCACTCCCGGGGCCCCATGGCTGGAGGGTGCTGCAGGGGCTACCGAAAAACACCTCTGTCCACACCCTGCCTGGGGCCCTTGCCCTGGGGTGGAGTAGCTGCCCCTTGACCCAAGCTCTCTGAGGACACACTCTGGGTCTTGTGTTATCTCGGCCACCCCAGGACCCGGCTCAGGGCCCCACAGATCGGCTGACAGGGCTCTCCACGAGGTTGCTCACCTGACAGTGACACAGTGGAGGGAGATGAATCAGTGAGGCAGAGAAGGAACACCTGAGTGGCAGGGTCTTGCAGGCCCCGGGGGGTGAGCAGAGGGGCAGGAGGAGGGAAAGAAGGGAAGGCCTGTGACCACTCCTCCTGTGACATTCTTCTCACCCTCAGCCACATGTCCCTGCCTGGGGACAGTGACGGGGGCTACATGGACATGAACAAGGACGAGTCGGTGGACTATGTGCCCATGCTGGACATGAAAGGAGACATCAAGTACGCAGACCTCGAGTCCTCCAACTACATGGCTCCTTACGATAACTACGTCCCCTCCGGTGGGTGCCGCGTCCTCCCACCTGTGTGGCCCTCCTACCTGTGCCGTGACGCATTCTTTTCCAAGCCTCTCCTACACCCAGCTGGACGACAACCTGCGGTTGGGGGAGGTGGCCTCAGGCCCATTTTGTAGAAGCAGAAACTGAGGGTAGCCACCTGCCTTAAGTTGCTGTGTGGTGAAGCCCCGATAGGACCCCCAGTTTGGGGGGCGAGATGTACACTCAGCCCTCCTGGGGGGGGGGTTGGAGGGGGAGTGCCTGGCCTCCTGGGCCCGGAGGAGGCCCCAGGCTGATCTGGTGCCCCTGAAAAGCAGGCAGGCCAGGCTGAGCAAAGGTGGCCTGGGGCTGATGCTGAAAGTCTTTCTGGACAATGAAGGATCTGACAAAGTGGGAGAGGGTTAAGGCAGATATTTGGAAAGTGTTTCCTTTTTGGGGGAGACTTAGAGGACCAGGAGCCCCCTGTCTTGAACAGTTAGCGCCCCCAGGAGCCTGAGGGCCAGGGGAAACGCAAGGTGGTGGGTGACCTTCTGTCCTCCTCTAGCTCCCGAAAGGACCTGTAGGGCGACTTTGATCAACGAGTCCCCAGTGCTTAGCTACACGGACCTCGTGGGCTTCAGCTACCAGGTGGCCAATGGCATGGAGTTCCTGGCCTCCAAGAATGTACGTGTGTGGTCACAGTGGGCAGATTGACGTCGTGGGGCAGTGGGCCACCCAGCCAGCCAGCCAGGGTCCCCCAAGTGCACAGCTCCACATGCTAGCTCTGTCCCCTCTGGTCGTGAGGACCGTGAATTCCCTCACACCGTGTGACCCCCTCTCACCTGTGGGGCCCCTCACACCCGGACAGTGATTCGTTTTCCCCAAAGCACTTGATACGGAGGGTCTTCCCCACCACTGCCCCCAAGGCCTCAGCTTCCCTCACCCTCCATCCCTCCGCCCCGCCCCCAGTGTGTGCACCGAGACCTGGCAGCCAGAAACGTGCTCATCTGTGAGGGCAAGCTGGTCAAGATCTGTGACTTTGGCCTCGCTCGCGACATCATGCGGGACTCGAACTACATCTCCAAAGGCAGCGTGAGTACCTTCCCCTTCCCCGAGCGCCTCTGACCCCCCTGGTCAGCGTGACTTAGACTCGCAGGAGATGAGAATGGGGCTCCTGTGGCCCGACCTGCCCAGCGGTGACTGGCCCCGCCTGCCTGGCCACATGTGCAGGGACAGGAGGGGAGCCAGCAGCGGTGCATGGGGCAGGAGGGGCAGAGATGCTAAGACCTGAGGGGGTGAGCAGGGGCTCAGATTTGCTGGTAATGACAGGGGGCAAGGGGGCCGCTGTAAGGGTCCCTGGGAGTTTGGAGGGGAAGCAGGACAAACGTGTCACCCCAAACGGCAGCAGGCGGCAGAGGAAGAAGCCAAGGTGGCAGGCTGAGACAGATGGACAGATGGCAGGCAGTGTCTGGTTAAAATAGGACCGTGTTGCCTCCCATTCATGTCCCCACTGTCCGCACTGGGACAGGGAAGCCCAGAGCTGGAGGGACACTAGGCCGCAGAGATGGAAGGCAGCGAGGATCAGAGCTGGGTGGCACCTCCGCATGCCCCTGGCTCCCGCTCCCCTCTGCTGACTCGGTCAGGGGCCTCTGCTGGGGTCCGGAAAGGAAGCCTGTTCTGGGAGGAGCCTCAGACCCTGGGGTTACCGTGACCCCAGCTTGTGGGAAAAGAAACAGCCTCCTGATTCCCTGGCCAGCGCCGGGATGGGCACGGGGACCGTGTCCCAGCAGAAGCAGGCCCCCAGGGCTTAGGGAGTGGGAGAGAGTTGGGGTGGGAACTGCCAGGTCTCCCCGCTCCTGCCCAGGTGCAGAGTGGGGCTCAGCCCCGCCTCACACCCAGACCGTCTGTCCTCCCTCAGACCTTCCTGCCGCTGAAGTGGATGGCCCCCGAGAGCATCTTCAACAGCCTCTACACCACCCTGAGCGACGTGTGGTCCTTTGGGATCCTCCTCTGGGAGATCTTCACCCTGGGTATGCCTCCTTCCTCCCACAGTCCGCAGCAGCCTGGCACAGCACCCACCCGCACCACTCACACGACCAGCCGGTGGGGCTGTGCACAGACCCTGGGACAGGCATCGGGGCTCTGGTTCAAGACCCAGCCGTGCTGCTTTCTTACTGCTGTGTGTCCTTGGCAAGTCTCTTTCCCTCTCTGGGTCTCCTCACCTCCCATCTGAGGACTGAGGGGTTTGGACGGTGACATCTTCCGGTCTCTGACTCTGAGGAGAGTTTGTGGGATGCCCAGAGCCATGAAGAAGCCCACATTTCCCAATCCCAAGGCCACTGTCCCCTCAACCCAACCCCGGTGTGAGGGTTTCTCACCACTTTTTCAACGCCCCGAACCTGTGTATCTCTCCTCTTGTCTTTGCTCCCTGACAGGTGGCACCCCTTACCCGGAGCTGCCCATGAACGAGCAGTTTTACAATGCCATCAAGCGGGGTTACCGCATGGCCCAGCCTGCCCACGCCTCCGACGAGATGTGAGTGGTGCATTTGGGAGGACGTTTTGGGTGCAAACGATACACGCCCAACTGCAGCAGCTTCAGCCAACAAGAGACTTATCAGTTCAGAGACCTATACAAATCTCGGCATGGCTGGCTTTAGATGTGCAGCTGATTCAGCAATCAGCAATCTCTGCTTCTACCCCTGGGCTGTGCTCTCCTCTGTGCCGGCCTCATATGCAGCCTGGCACTGCCCAGTGGCTGTGTCCTAGCTGCTTTCACCATAGCCCCAGCAAAAGGCCCAGAGCTGACTGTCATGGTTTCCCTGGGGTCGCGTGATCACCCAGAACCAGCCACTGAGCTGAGGGGATGCAAACCCCTCCTGGCCAGACCTGGGCCATGTGCTTACCCCGGTGTGGTCAACCCCTCGAACCACTGAGCTGGGGGTGGGGAAGGGCTTCCCAAGAGGATATCCAGGTGTATGATGGGAAAACAGCACCTACTCATCCTGCTTCTGTAAGCCCTTTCATTGCTTACCCTGCTCTGGGGGGGGCGCGGGGCTGTCGCCTTCCCTCTGCACCTGGTGTCAGAGACCTTGACCCCCGTGTGCCTCTCCCCAGCTACGAGATCATGCAGAAGTGCTGGGAAGAGAAATTTGAGATTCGCCCCCCCTTCTCCCAGCTGGTGCTGCTTCTCGAGAGGCTGCTGGGTGAGGGTTACAAAAAGGTAGGTTGAGGCAGTGTGGGGGAGGGAAATGGAGAGTCCTGGTGCAGAAGTCGGACATTGTGTACAAGGCTTCGCGTGGCCTGTCGGCGTTTGAGGGACTGCCCTGTACCCTCTCTGGGCCTCTGTTTCTTCGCTGGTACTAGCCAGGGGTGGGCTGGAGCTGCGAGTCTAGTTTATTTCAGCAGCACAGAGTTTGGAGGTGAAATCCCACATAGAAGCAGATGGGTGTACAGAGGAGGAAGGGAGCCTGCAGCCCCCTTCAACCTGCCAGGTCTCGGGTCCCCTTCAGAGGGTGAACTTCCTGAGGCTGGGTCACTTCTGGGCTCTGACCAGAGAATGGAGCCAGCCGCCCGACACCCTCCCTGTGCAGGCCTGGATCGGGGAGCCCTTCTCCACGGGCACAGACACCGCCCTTCCCCTTGGCCCGTCCCTGCCTCGGCCCCCACCCCAGCCCCTGCCCCAGGTCTGCTTCTGGCTCTGGGACCAGTGAGACAGGGTGGAGCTGTCACCGTTTGGTAGCGAGGCCCCCGCTGAAGGGGGCTGAGGTAGGATGAAAGCACAGACCCGCCTGGTCTGAAGTGGGTGGAATGTTAGGGTGTTGGGTGCTGGTCCACCGACTGGTCCCTGCCTGGGTGGCCCTAAGCCTGCCTTGTCTCGTGAGGCAGTGCCAGGGGGGAGGGCAGTCCCGCTGCGTGGCTTTGGGTGACGGTCCTCCCTCTCGGAGCGCCAGTTGCCTGATTTGCACAGGACTCGGGGTGCCGGGTCAGAGTCTAACTGCCGGACGGCCCCTAAAGGCTTCTCTGATCTGGCCTCCCCTGTTTCCCGGTGCTCTCCGCCCCTCGGAGCAGAGGTACCAGCAGGTGGATGAGGAGTTTCTGAGGAGCGACCACCCCGCTGTCCTTCGGTCCCAAGCCCGCTTGCCTGGCTTCCATGGCCTCCGGTCCCCTCTGGACACCAGCTCAGTGCTCTACACTGCCGTGCAGCCCAACGAGTGCGACAACGACTACATCATCCCCCTGCCCGACCCCAAGCCTGAGGGCACCGACGAGGGCCCGCTGGAGGGTTCCCCCAGCCTGGCCAGGTAGCCACTGTGGCCCGGGTGTGCCAGTGTGCGCAGTGCATGCGTGTGTGTGTGTGTGTGTGTGTGTGTGTGTGACCTGCCTTAGAAGTAAATTGCCTAGAGTGAGCACTTATTCCTGCCAGTGAGTAGAAGAGAGAATTGAACTCACTTGACCTCTGACGCCCTCACGTGCAAAGGGCAGGGTGGTGAGAGAAAGACTGGGCTGGGACTTACCTGCAGTGTGCAATAGCTGTTTCCCGTAAAGGAGCCCTCCTGGGCCACTGCTCTCCCCCATCTCTGGGAGAAGAGGAAGAAACCCAGTTCACACCCCAGCACCCCACGTGTTACCACAGGTCATCGCCAGCCCCTGGCCTGTGTGCCCCGCCTTGGGGCCCCAGGGAGCTGACATGTGGCAGAAGGCAGAGGGGCCTCCAGGAGCGCAGGCCAGAATTCAGACTGGGAAGGAGGTTCCTGCTTTACTTTGCCTGGGAATACGGTGAAGTTCGAGCATGGGGAGGAGTTTGGTAGAAGCCCCAGCTGTTGCCTGGACTTGATGTTTAGACAGGGTGCCCCACCTTGGCTAGAAAGAATGGGTCTCCATGAGGCCAGATCAGGTCCCCCCTCCCCCGAAAAACAAGACCCGGCCCGTGGTGCAATGGCAGGAGCCCCGCTGAGGTTCCAGCTGCAGCTCTGCTGGGAGACGTGCCAGGTGCCTTCTTGCTCTGCGCGCTGACTGGGAGCACAGCACAGCCAGGACTCGGGAGGCCCCAAAGGCCCTCCCAGCCCGTGCAAGCCGCTGATACTCCGGCTCCAGGAAGACCGTGTGCAGAGGGGTCACGCGCAGGGTTCAAACAGCCCGGGGTGTGAAGGCGGGCCCTGATGCGTGCTCTCAGACAAGTTCCCCTCTCTGGACTTCAGTTTCCTCATCTGTAAATAAAAACACCAGAGTACTTCAGTTCGGAGGGTGTTGGGAGGGTGAAGTAAGGCAGCGTAAACCCTCGGGAGTGCAGGAGATGGAGACGCTGATGCGTGAGGGGTACGCTGTGGGCCCCCTGGATCTGCTGTGAAGTCTCAGCTCCTACACTCACCCGCTGTGTGGCTCAGGACAAGGACATAACCTCTCTGGGCTGCACCTTCCCCACGATGCCCGCCTTGCCTCGTCTTCACAAGGACTGAATGGGGCGCAGTGTGCCGGGTCGGACGTACACAGGGCTCCTGGTGAATGGCATTGCTGCTTCACTGTGGTTCCCTCCCAACCTCTCACTCACTTGCCTTCTCCCTCCAGCTCTACCCTGAATGAAGTCAACACCTCCTCGACCATCTCCTGCGACAGCCCCCTGGACCCCCAAGAGGAACCAGAGCCAGGGCCCCAGCCCGAGTCCCCGGTGGAGCTGGTGGCAGAGCCGGAGTGGCTGCCGGACCCAAGCGGCCCTGAGCCCCGGGCTGAGGCAGAAGACAGCTTCCTGTAGGGGGCTGGCCCCCACCCTGCCCTGCCCAAAGTGTCCCCTCTACCTCCCAGCACCCCGTGTCTCCCGGCCTGTCCTGCCCAGTCTCCTATCAGCCGGGCTGTCCCCATCGGCTGTCCCCTGTGGCAGGCTCTGGCCCCTGCCATGTCACACCCCAACCCCTGGGGCTGGCTTAGGAGGCAAGAGACCTGCAGGGGCCATGACCAGCCTCTGCCTCTGGGGAGGCCATGTGACTCGGAGCCAGGGTTCTCCCAAAGGACTCTGTTGCCCCATCTGTAAGATGGGAAAGTCGGGCTCAGTGGCCAACGGTTTGGGATTCTCCCCATGGCTGATAGGTGTGGAGCTTGGAATCCCTGGGGAGATTCTCTAGGTAGTTGAGGTAGTCAATGAACTTTATCCTGTTCAGCCGGCTAACCCTCAGGGAGCTGCAGCTCTCTCCTTGTGCTTTCCCTGCTTGGAAGCTGGGAAGGGGCCCTGGTATCCCTGGCTCCTGGCTGAGCTGGGGCCTGGCCTTGGGCAGTGCTGCCTCCTCCCCTCGATGTCTGCCTTTGCTCTCCCAGGCCCGGGCTGGCCTGGGCCGTCCGTGCTCCACTGATGCTCGGGGCGGAGCCCAGCCCAGGGCTCTCCCGCCTGCAGCCCCTGCCCCAGGCAGGTGGGGCGCACCTCCCTGTAAACAGTGCCCGTGTCCATGTCTCCCGGCTCCGTGAGCCCTGGGGTCTCTCCCCTCATCACTGCCAGTCTTAATTCCACCCACGAGTCTCCAGGGCCAGAGGCTCCACATCTGTGGGGAGTGCTTGGATATGTGTGTGTGAAGTGCCCACACGTGTGGGCCCATCTGTGGGTCATGTGTGCACTGGACCCACGGAGGCCTCACCCCCCAGGGGTGAGCCAGGGTTGGGGAGATTCCAGACCACAGGCCACACTTCAGGCATTCGGGAACTGTGCTCCCTCCCCAGGCCCCCGGCCAGTCCCCACAGGCCAGCTGCCCAAGCCTTGACACCAAGTGACAGCCAGTGTCCTAGAAAGCCCCAAGCAGCTGCCTCAGGGACACAGGAAGACCACAGGAGCCCTTCTGGAACCCACAATGACCTCGGGGGTGGTCCTGGGCCGAGGAGGCAGAGGGGGCACATCAGACCACCTGGTGCGCCTCCCATACCACCCACCACCTGCCGTCCAGGTCTGTGCCAAAGACAGTGGACAAGTGAAGGCCCCTGCGGGGCCCTAGAAATGGGAAGAAGCCTTGGATGGGGACCCTGAGAAAGGGGTGCAAGAGGTGGGTACTCAGAGCGTTGCCTGCTCACCTGCCAGCCGCCCCATGGGGTATGGCTGTGTCTCTGCCCAGGGCCGCTCAGCTCACTCTCCAGCAGCCCCCTAGCCCAGCGGGCACTGAGGTGCTGAGGGAGGGCTGTGGCCCAGACTGCTGGCAGGGCAGGGCTGGAAAGGGGGTGAGGGGGGGTCGGCCCCTCTGGATACCCGCCCCTTTGCTGGGTGGCACCTCCCTGCCCCAGGACCCGAGAAGCCTGGTTGAAGAGGGGACTGGGTTCTCACTACGGTACCAAAGATGTAATCACCTAGGTTTACAAGTATTTTTAGGACTCACATTAACTCACATTTATACAACAGAAGTGCTATTTTATATGCCATCAAAATTTCCTATCTGTGTACCTTTTTTTAAGGGGAAGATTTTAATATTAAACCCGGTGCTTCTCACAGACTTTTGTGGTCTCTGGCAGGGTGGGGCCCCTGTGCCTGGCTGGCAGCAGGAGTGGGGGGGTGCCGACAGGGCTCACCCCAGCCACAGGTCCCCCCCACGCAGGTCCCTTTAGCGCTGGGTCTGGTTTCCCTCTGTATGAGAGGGATTTCTGCACCCTGGATGCTGGGCTTCGGTTTTCCAAGTTGGGGAATGGGGAGGCTGCTGTGGCCCTGCAGGGGCCGGGCCCGGGGGTGGACAGGACTGTTCACAGGCTCAGGAGCCTGATCCCCTCCTGCCGCCCTGCCCACCGCGCTCCACCCTGTGCTTTGGTTTTGGCTGTTAAGCTGCCCCCCGCTGGCCCCCGCACCCTCCACTCTGCCTGTGGGCCAGACTGAGTCTGCCGTGCTCCCGAAGCACGTCCACTAAAGCCCAGAGTCAGGCCCCGGCGGGTAGCGGTTGGGTCCCAGTAGGAGGGCAGACACCACACCCAAGGGGCAGAGAACAGGAAGAAGTGAGGAGAGAGAGGAAGAGGAACGAAGAAAGATGCTGGAGGACGGTGCCCTGGGCGAGGACGGTGCCCCGGGGGGGGGCCGGGGAAGAAAGGTTCTGGCTGTGGCTCAGAGGGCCGTCTTGCCAGGCGGGGCACAAGGCTGTAGAGCGGGCAGCCCCCACCCCTCGCAGCTGAAGGAGGTCGGCGGCGTGGGGCTGGCATAAGTCAGGCACCCCGGTGTGGGCTGGCCAGCCCAGACTGCCCCGCCCAGGCCTTCGAGACCCTGGTGGTAGCATGAGGCCAGGGGCCATAGAGCTACCAGGGGCAGCGGGCCAAGGGCAGGGTTCCTGGACCCAGAAAGGAGCTTCCTGGCCTTCCTACCTGGGCCCTTTGGGAGACGTCATCTGAGGTGGAATGATGTTTGTCACATTTCCCTGTGTGACCTTGGCCATCCCTTGCTCTCTCTGAGCTGGGGAAGGGGCGTCTCAGTTTGTTTCTGGGGGAGGGGTGCCTCAGTTTGGAGCCATGGCCTGGACTGCCTCCAGGAGTCGGGGGCTGTGGCTGCCTTGGCGGAGCGGAACAGAGACATGGGGTGGCTCTGACTCAGAGGCCCCGCGGCCGACTCAGGAGCAGCTGAGCCACGCCAGGGAAACCCCTGCCAGAGGCAGGGCCGAGCCAGGCCAGCCCACCCTCCTGGGGGTCTGGCTTCAGAGGACATCCAGAGCCCAGGCCCCGCTTGCCCTGGCTGTGGTAGAAGATGAGTCAGCCAGGGTCTGCCCTGTGAAGAGGACAAACAACCGCATTCCAGAGGGGGTTATCCGCGCCCGCGGGAAAAGCCACCATCCAGAGGTCGGGAGAATGTGGCCGCCTCCTCCTCAGGCCTGCTCCACACTGGGCCCAGGTGGACCACACCGCAGCGGGCCTCAGTTTCTCCAGCGGTGAAGGGAGCTCACGATGCTATAAAGAGGCGAAGGATGGTAAAGCTCGGTGACCACTTACTGAGCCGGTGCTCTGTGCCGGGGCTGTGCTGTTGCTTCCCAGTGTCTCACCTTCACATCAACCCTTGAGCCGAGCACCACTGTTGTTCTTATGTTACACCAGAGAAACCAGTTTAGGGAGGTTGCAAAGTGACTTCCCACCATCCCCTGGTTGGTATGACGGGGATGGGATAGGGACCCAGGCCTGGCCAACTCCCACGTCATTGTCCAGGGAGGTAAAGCACCCAGCCAAGGGTATAGGCTGAGGAATAGGGAAACCTGGGTCCCAACCCCTGTCCCCTGACTCCAGACCCTTCTGGTGCTGTGTCCCAAGAGACAGAGAAGGGAAGTGCAGATAGTAAGAAGGAGCTAAGTGCATCTGGTGGACGGCTTGGGCCTCACAGCGCCCTGGGCAGGGGGGTGAGGGGATCAGGGACACGGGGACCCCAGGTTGCGCCCCCCCGGCTCTGCCTCTCAACCTCCAGCAGGCCCAAGGGAACGGGTGAGCTGGCATTTTCCTCCCAGACAGATGAGCCACGGGGACGGCACTGTTCTTCCGCCACCCTGCTCCCTGCAGGGCCCTTGTTCCCGGAAAAAGAGGGCGACCGAAAGAAACTGCTGCTCCTGGGGCCCTGAGCCCCCGCCGCTAGGGTGCCTTGCCACGTCCCGGTCGCATCCCCTCTGTGAAACAGGGCTCTGTCTCTGAAAGTCCTCTTTCATTTCAGCTTCTTACTCGGCATCATTATAATTAAAAATTACTTTTATAAAACATGTATGTAACATTTGCCTGCATTAAAAATATCCACGAACCAAAATATATGATACAGAAAGAGAAAGTCTTTGCGCATGTTGTATCTTAGACTCCAGTAACATTTCAAACGCTCATCTTTCTTACGGAAATTCTGCCTCTCGCTGTTAACCGTTTTGTTGTATTCTTCCAGGTCCCCCCGCCCCTTCCACTCATGCTAATATTTATATTTTGTGTCTATAGTATGCACACAGAGACATAATTATAATTCTAAACAAAGTTTCCGCTGCCATTTTGCATCTTTTTGTTTCTAACTGAGACACCCTCGCAGCCCAGTGGTGCGTACAGGTGTTCGTGTTCGTTCATTCTGAGAGCCGCAGGTAACGCAACTGGAGCCCCTGCCGCCAGATGTTTAAGCAGTCCCTACTGATGGACACTCAGTGTTTCGCAGTTACAAATTACGCTGGAATGGCCACTGTTTGTGAAGTATATTTGTGTTCTCAGGTTTATGGAAGTGTTTTCCCCGCATGGGGTAAATAAATACCTGGGCACAGAACTGCTGAGTAAAGAGAAAAAGCATTGGGAATGTTACTGGAGCCTGAAAGTTCTCTTTAAAACACAGAAGATCATAGAGGTTCTGGGAGGCTGAGAAAGTCAAACATATAAACGATGAAAACGACAGATGTTAATTCTAGCAGGGGCTCTGGCCTCCTGGGAAAAGTGTCGTGCCTCTTCTGTTTGTTGAAAAAGGCCACAGACAAGCAGTAGAAAAGGAGTTCGGAGACGGAAGGGCACCACGTGGCAACTTCCTGCTGGTGTGACCAGGGGGCCTTGGAGACGTCAGTGGCAGGAACTTTCCCGACGTCCAACTCCCAGCCTGCGTCCTGAGAGGGCGTCCCGCCCCTTGGGAAACCCAGTGCCCATTCACTGTGCCGGATCACTCTGGATCCTCACGGTTTAGAGAGTGTGTTCCTGTCGGTGGCCCCAAGCAAGGCTCGTAAACCGACGAGACAAGCAAGGGAAGATGGGTTCCCCGTGAGGAAGCCGAGGCTCAGAGCCACTAAGGGCTGGCCCAAGGCCACACACGGGAGGAGGCTCTTGACTGGCAGCCTGGTCCCTTGCAATTGCCTCCCTTGGAGACTCACAAAGACCAGTTCCTGGACCCAGGGCGAGCAGGCTGGGCCCTGAGGTCAGGGTGCCGGCTGCCCACCCGAGGTGTGGCCCTGGAATTCTCTGTGTGGGCTCCTCCTTGGAGTAGCGTTCTAGGGTATGTCTGAGCTTGTGACAAATTCCCACAGCTTAGAGTACAATCTGCCATAGCAGCATCAGGGGCCTGCTGAGGGGGCCTGGCCTAGGGCAGAGCATTTGTCTTCTCAGGATCCAGCAGGGACTCGGGCATCACAGAAGCCAGATGCCTATCTCCCTGTGAGCCCCTCCCAGTGGCTCGGTCCCTGTCCTTCTCTCTGCAGCCCCTTTGACCTGCTCTGTCAGATGGCTTCCCTTGGGGCTCCTCTCCTACCCCTCATGGGCTTGGGGCAGTTTCGTAGTCTCAGGTTTGGGGTTTCGTGGGTAATCACTGCAAGGAACCAAACAAGTTACAAATACAGGGAAGTAACAGAGCTTCTGTAAAATCACAGTTCTCAGGGTGCTTGTTCCCTTTCCGAAACAAGATGGAATCTTCCACACCCGAAAGCTTCCCTTCTTTGTTACTGACCTTCCTGGAGCCATCTATGGTCTTGATGGTCTTGGCTCTCTCTTGCTCAGACGGCTCCCACGGCCCGGTGAAGTCTGGACTTCCTACTGTGGTCTTCAAGGCCCTCCCTGCCCTGAGTCCCACCTCTCATGTGGCCCGCCTGTCTACCCCTCTGTGGGTCACAGGCTTGCCAGCCACGCACGAGAGCGCTCTGTTCCCCACGTCCTCTGAGAACAGCCATCCTGCCAGGTGTGAGGGGACAGCTCGCTGTGGTTTTGATTTGCATGCCCTGATGATGCCATGCGTCCGGCCATCTGCAGCATCTTCTTCAGAAAAGTATCTATTCAGTTCTTCTGCCCATTTTTTAATCAAATTTTTTTTTTGCTGTCAAGCTATAAGAGTTCCTTATATACGAGGTCTGTCCAGAAGGTATCCAGCCATGCAATATGAAAAGTAGAGACACTTATTGAAGAAGATACAAGAAACATTATCCACAGGACAATGATGCCTCAGTCCCCTTCAAAGGAGGCCCCTTGGAACCTCACATAGGTCTCCCAATCGCCATCAGCTGTCCCGTCATATTTTCCTGAATCTCATCAATGGTCTGAAATCTCTTCCCTTTCAAAGGTGATTTTAGTTTTGGGAAAAGCCAGAGGTTGCAGGGCACCAAACTGGGCTGCAGCAGGGCTGAGTCACCTGGGTGATTTGATGTTTCACCAAAAAGCTCTGCATGAGACGTGAAGCATGAGTGGGAGCATTGTCATGATGAAGCTGCCAATCACCAGTCACCCATAGCTGTGGCCTCTGAATCATCCAAAGGGTTTCTAAGCTTGAACAGAGGAATGTTCAAGCTTAACGCAAAATTTGATGCAGATTCTTTGTTTTACTCAGACAGTTTGAAAGTGACGGTCACACAGTGCGCATGCTCGTTCAATGACATCTACTGCCCCCACAGACTAGTACCGTGAAGTCATTGATCACGCATGCGCTTTCCAGTCCACTCTCTTTGGCCTCCAGATAGCATGGATGTCGTGCAAACCGTTCTTGTTTTATTAACAATGGCTGGACTTTTTCTGTATAGAGTTCGTATTTTGGATATTAAGCCGTTATT